AAAAAAATAGAACAGAAAGATATTAATTTAAGTAATAATAGAATTATATACAATAGAAAAAAGGCACAATTTAATATTAAAAAAAGAAGAACAAGAAGAAAAAGAAACACCGGCTTATTAAAGTAGAGCAGTAGAACTCTTATGTTTTTCACAGGTAATAACAAAAAAAATATATAAAGAATTGGAACATAAAAAGAATATAAATTTTCAAATAGAACCATATGACTGCTCCCTGATTATCAACACGTATATAGGACGCTTACGTTCACATATCAATATTCGGTTGTTCATATGATTGGATAATTTCATTTGCTGTTGTATTTGAGAGTTCCGTTCTAGAATGAGGAAGGATTTTGACGATGATTGATAAAGAACGAATAATAAATATAAAGTCAAAGAAGAAAGCAGTAAGAAGCGCATGTTTATATATATATAAATATATATGTATACAACAGCAAATTGTAGCAGCTTTTTTTTATTGTATGTGCAATGTGAGCGAGACAATAGAAAGAAAATTAGTAAAAGCGTGATAACGTGGTTATTATCGATAGATTGATGATGATGAAGAATTTCCTACTTGAAGTATAGTTGGACATTGTTCAAGTATTTTAACAAGTAAACTATCTGTATAGCTTTCAAGATCTTTCAAACGTGTATCACGTTTTTTAAGTAAATCTGATTGATATGCAATAACATGGAGAAGCTCCTAAAATTGAATAAATAATGGAAAAAAATATTATTTCTAATTTATTAATAAATAAATGATCGTACTTCACGATCAAGATAATCAAGTTCTTGACGAACTTTAGGATGGACAGCTGCACTTTTCACATTTTCATATCCAAGTACACAAAGACCATTATCATTTTGTTTCTTATTACTTGTAATTGATGATGATACTGAATTTTTAGTTGAACCTTGACAAAACAAAATATTCTATTTCAATGAATAAATAATTTTTTATATTTACTTTTCACTGATTGTTCACCAACAATATCTGGTAATGTTGTACTGCCAGTTCTATCTGTTCGATTAGCATATGGTGACGATTGGTTTTGAGTATAACTACTTGCAAATCTATTATTAACTGGCGGATCAAGCTAAAAAATAATAAGAATAAACGAAATTTCTGTAGAAAAATAAATTTTCTAAATACAGTACAACAATAAAATCAAACAAAAGTAACAATAACATGCGATGATTAAAAAAATATATTCAGAGCGCACTGTCATAACATGCATATCAATACACGATAAAATGGGACAAAAATAAAATAATAATATGTATGCATATATATATAGATATTTATCGTCTTATGATATTGGTCCATGCAATTATTCTTACAATATTCTTAGTATCAGTTTCGATACTTGGTGTGGCTATATCATCAATATCATCAAATGATAAAACTCGACTTTGAATTTTCTTATTTGTTTGAAGTGTTGAATACTTCAAATTAATCGGACGATGTTGATTTTCAGAGGACAATTGCTGGAAATATAGACAATTCTTCTCATGTGAAACATATATATATATATAGATATTGTGTCAGAACAAAGATTTATATTTATATAGAAAGAGGGGTTTTACTTATAAGCTAAAGTGCATTAAAAAAATAGTAGTGATTTTTACCTCAGAAAATGATTGTTGCATTATATCGTCTTTTGGTTGAATTTTTCGTTTCGTCGAAGAACGCATACTCGACATTCGCTAAATAAAATCAGATTTTTTTCGTGTCTGTTACATCCATCAATTTAACTGTGACATCACATACACACACAGACACACACATGTATATATATATATATAGGTACATAAAGCAACAAATACATAAGCACTCTTTTGTGGATTTATGTGCAATATCTACATGCAATTATAAAAACAATACGAAAAAAATGTTATTCTATTTAACGATTAAGAAAAAATAAATATTTAGCAAGAAGAAGAAGAAGAAGGGCAAATTTATTACTAAAATTATCGTGTGTATATGTATGTATATGTATGTGTATGTATGTGTGTGTGTGTGTATTAAACATGGATAAATACTTACTTCCAATTTACCCAATAATTCATCAACATCTTCATCACCAGAATCATTTAGATCATCTAAATTATTTGTAATAGTTTCTTTTTGTTTTTCTGTTGTAATCATAACAGTAGGCGTTATTGTTTTATTAAGTTTAGGTGATGGTACTGAAACGGTTGGAGTATGTATTTCATCAGTATGAATAGGTGCTGCACGTTTTGGTTCTTTGGAATGACGAACAGATTTCGATTCTTGAGTTTTAGGTGATTGTTGATTAACAGACGATGATATAGTAAAATTTTTAATTGGTTTTTCTTCAATAATTTTTGTTTGATTTTGTTGTTGGTGTTGTTGCTGTTTAAATGTACTAAAACAGTTATCAAAATCGATATCATCTAATTCTTCATCGGTATGTTGTTTAGGTGAACTTGGATCAGGAATAATTTCATCTGTATCTACTGCTTCTTTTATTGTCGATAAACCAAATAATGAATCATGCGGTGATGCGTCATATTCTTTTGATTTATTTATTGATGATTCATTTGTTGAGGTTTTATAATCATTAATAGCATCGAATGCTGCTTCTATATCATCGCCTGTAACAGAAAAACTTCGACTATTTTCTGTTAAGGGTGGAGTATTGTTTGTAAGTTTTGTTGTTACAACAGTTGGTAATGTTGTTGATGATGATGGTTCCTTAGATTTTCTACGCATTGAATTACTTCTTGGTGGTAAACCATTATCCACATGAGTTTCGCGTTGTTGTTGTTGCTGTTGTTGTACTTGAGAACGAACAGGAGGAGATGGTGTGGACGGTTCATCACCACCATACATTGAAGCTGAATCAAGTATTGATGATGTATCATAATCTGATGTTATTGAACGACGTGATGAATGTGGTGTTCCTGTACCTAATATCGATCCAAGTCCACTACTTGGAGCCCGAGGCATCTGTTAAAAAGATATTTTTTGTCATGTCTACTTAGTGCTAGTGATAAATGAATAACAAGAAGTACCGTTCTATACGTTCTCAAAAGCAAGAATTCAAGAAATAAAACTCACCCACACATACATACATATACTCTCAAGAATTCCTTTAATGATATTGAGAAAAAGATAACCTTATATATATAGCTAAGAATAAATATTGAAAGACTATACATGCAATCAATTTGAGTAAATGCAATAAAAAAAAAGAGAAGAACAATTGACACATATACATGCATATCAAGAGACAAAATAAATGCTGACTTACATCATCCTCTCGTCTATTCAAGGACATTGACTATAGATAATCTCTTTTTAATGAAATTAATAAAAAATCAATGTATAAACATACCTTTTTTTGTTGTGGTTCAACATGATTATTGTATGACATGCTATTAAGTGACATATGTGAACCCGCAAATGATGTTGACTAAAATATAAATATATATAAATCATTATTTTTTAATTTTAATAATAAATAAAAAGTAAGCGTTAGAATCAATATTGTCGATTGAAAAAAAAGAAGCAGCAATATAATGCAAACCTCTTCATCTTCTTCTCGAATGGAAGAAGAAGTATCCCAAATAAAGTTATCAGAATATTGTGACTACAATAATAGTTAGAGATTAAAGCTGTGAGTAAAAATTAATGTGCGTTAATATAAATGAAAAAGAAGAAGAAGAAGACAAGGTTATGAAATAAAAAGCTAGTTAAGTGAATGCATGTTTTGTTGAAAACTATATTCATTGATCTCTCTCACCTCCGATGCTGAATCATCGAGAAAATCGCGTACATTAAATGTACTATCATCACCGCCACCTAGGCGATGACGCTGATGAGCTAACTGAAAAATAATTAGTTCATTATATTTTATACGAACAATATTTACAAATAAATTAGATTATATAAAATTTTTTTTTTCATGTTACATAAAAATAACAAAGGATTATGTACCTGATTATCACCAGTGTAATTATCTTGTTTTTTCTGTTTCGAAGCTATTGTTAATTTACTACCTAAAATGAAATATTTGATATGATTAATATAAATATTATTGAAAAGAACAGGAACAAAAAAAAAATGCAAATCGATCTTGAAGTTCACCTTGATTATTAATATTATGAATCAATTAATCGATCGATACAAAAAGAATATTTCTGAATAGAAGGAAAAATTCTCATTCCATCCATACTAAGATGATTAGTATCAATTTTCATAACCCTATAAAAGTAATCGATCTCCGTCACAGTTGGTATTACATCGATCGTCACATATAAAACTATCAATCAATCGAAACTTTTCTTTTTTCTTTATTCTCGTCATTTTTATTACTATTTCTAAAAATAACTATATACAACATATTACCTTTTCTTTTTTTCTCCTTTTTTTTAATAGTACATGTTAGAAAAATTAATTTTGTTTAATATCTTTCCTAGGAGAATAATTTCAAGGTTAATAACAAAAAAAAAGAAAAGATAATTCTCATGAGATATAACTTTCGACATTATTTTCATTAGTAAGATATTTTATTTGTGAAGATAAATAAAGTTGTTCTTTTTTCGTTACTTACCTAACGAATGTTTAATATCTTTCAATGAAAGATGCTTTTTTTTCGTTGCTAAATCTAATACACTGCCAGTTGTATCATTTTTTGAAAAAAATTGTAATGATACATCGATTTCACCTCGTTCTTTATCAGCTTTACCATCTTTATTTGTAAGTTTATACCAACTTTGAATAAAAAAAAACATAAGAATCTATTAGATAGATAAAAATATGAAATTTTACCTTCGATGAACACGATCATAATCTTGTAGATCACGTAGAGATACATAAGTACGACCAACAAAATCACCTTTAGATAAAGCATTTTTAGTATTATGATAAACAGTTAATTTTATTGTTGCATCATCCGGAATAGCCCTAAAATATTTCTTTATTCAATTGAATAGTTGTCTATGATTGAACTTACATGTCGCATTGTTCTTGCCATTCAGGTGCACGAGTTTTTTCTCGTACGGCAGTAACGAATTTTTCTTTTCCCATGGATATTGTACAAAAAGCATCAATTCCTAATATAAAAATAAAACTAAGAACTGTCATCTTCATAACAAATAAAATATCATACCATTGCTTTTGCCTTTATCTGGCAAATTTCGAGCTTGATGTACTATTTAATATAAAATAAAAATTTATTTTATTAATAAATCTAAGACAATCTTACCAGTACAACTGCAATAATTCGGTTGCGATAACGTTCTCGACATAATAATTATTCTAAATTATAACATATCAAAGAAAAAAAACATAAATCTTAAAATAGAAATAACAATTAAAATAAAAATGTTTTTCTCCTTCTTCTTCTATTCTAATGATTTTCACTGAATAACCATGTATTTCTACTCTTTAAAATATTATCATTTATGTACGTATGTGTGAGTAATACATCTCTAGCGCTATGAAAGATGCAAGAAAGAAAAAAGAATAACAAAAAGAGAAACTAGACGGTTTTTTTTCTCTCTTTCTTTCTTTCTGTATTATTACTATTCACCTTCTTCTTCTTCTTCTTCTCTCTCTCTCGTTCGTCCGACGCCGTTAAAACTTAGACAGAAGTAAAAAAAAAATGAATATTTAATATGGGAGGACGGTGATAGATGCAACAGGGAAGCAACTTAAAGTGAAAGGGAAAAGGACTAATCATGCAAGAATGAGTTTTGGTTACATTTTTTTCTGTTTTGTTCTCCTTTCACCCTAAAAATCAGACGAACTATTATAAAAAAAAAGAAAAGTAATTCTTATATAGAAAATGAGAAAAAAAGTGCCAAAAAAAAAACATGAGAAACAAAACCATCCAAACTCACCTTTAACTGGTTTTTGCATACATGAAAAAATGAAAAGAAAAATACGAGAATAAGAGACATGTATGAATACAAGGAAAAGATTCATGTATGAAATGAAATACTTTCTCCATTAGTCTCCTACGAAAAACATATATATATATATAGGAAAGAGAACATATCGATTTTTGTAAAACAATAGATATTTAATCTCGTATCTGGTTTTACTGACGTAATAGTATCTGTAACGAGCATATGTCAAAATTTGGTTGAGCGAAGTAGTGTCCTTGAATTAGTACATCAAGATAAAAATACGTCTAGATTATGTGTATTTTATGAAGTTTTACACGATCGAATAGATATAATATAGAGAGGAGATGGAGAAAAAATGATGAAAGGACAAACATCCATTCATTTAACTACATATATGTACAACTATACTCTGCTTAGGTTTCTTCTTCTTCTCTGAGCAAATGAAAAAGCAAGGAACGACGAACGGCGACATTAGACACAGCGATAGGGTGACCTTTGAAGAGAGATCGATCGATCGATCCGTCGCCCATTGATGTATATAATTTATTTCTATTCTTATACTTCTAACAATATTGAACAAATAATAGCCCACAATAGAACTGCATACTTTACTCAATCACTCTTGTCAAACATAAATCAGTATTCATCTCTGTCTAACAAAAGATCACTTAATAATAAAATAAAAATACTGTCTCGTTTCATATGATATTTACAAACAAACATCTCTTTTATACATTATTATACTCATAATGAGTCAACACATAAGCATTCAAATATATGATGAACAAAACAAAAAAGAGAAATAATTATCATTTGACTGCTTTCATTGTTTATTCTATGAGAGAAGCTCTACTCTAAGCTTCGTTTTATTATACGTGCATGTTTTAAGATACTAAGAGATTATCAAAACGTGCATTCTTCTTATTCGATCTATAGATATATATGTATATGTATGCTTTATATTCAACGAAAAAAAAAGAAGAGATCATATTCTTAAACATACTCTTGGTTTTAATATTTTATATCGTTAAATAAAAATGCTTAACTGTTCTTTTTTTTGTGTCTCAGATTCACTGTTCGACAAACAAATCAAATGATTAGTAAAAGCAAAGAAAAAAAAAGAAACACATCATAATCATTTATGGTGTAACACGTTTTGGATCACGTGGAAACATTGAAGTTTTGCGTACATTGCCCAAACCTAAATAAAGCATTAGTACACGTTCTAAACCAATACCACCACCAGCATGTGGTGGACAACCATAACGGAATGCATCAATATAAGATTTGATTTGATCAACATTGATATTATGATGCTTCACACGTTCAAGTAATAATTGAGGATCTAAAACAAATAAATAGAATTATTTTATATGAGTGTGTTATTTACCATGAATACGTTGTGCACCGGAAAGAATTTCTTCACCACGGATGAACATATCATAACTGTTTGAATATTTAGAATTATTTGGATCAGGCATTGTATAAAATGGTCGAACAGCCAATGGATATTTATCAAGAATGTAAAAGTCAGTATGATACTGTATAAAACGAAAATCGAATTGATAAATCTTATAAAAATAAGTATGGATCGAAATTTACCTTATCTTTTACAATACGACCTAAAATACGTTCATTTTCAGTTGATAAATCATCTTCTGAACCCATTTGAACGCCAGCTTCAGCAAGTAAAGCAAGACCATCTTTATATTCAAGACGTAAAGCAGGTTCAAGATATTCAAATGGTTCACATGGAAATTGTTTATTAATAATAGCAATTTCTGTAGCAAATCGTTCAACAAGACCTTTAAAAATTTGTGTAAACAAATCACCAATAGTATCAACTACTTCATGATAATGATAACTAAATGCCATTTCAAGATCGAGACCAACAAATTCAGTTAAATGTCTATGTGTATTAGAATCTTCAGCACGAAAAACTATAAAAAAATAACACATAAAGAATTAAAATAATATGAAATAATTAAATTACAAACCAGCTCCAACAGTATAAACTTTTCCAAAATCAGCAGCAATTGCCATTTGTTTATAAAATTGTGGTGATTGTGCTAAAAATGCTTTCGTTTTAAAATAAGTCACTTGAAATACATTAGCACCTCCTTCCGATGCAGCTAAAAATTAAATAAACTTTTATTTATTTATTTTTATTCATAAAACTAATCAATAAATATACCTGAAATAATTTTTGGTGTATGAATTTCAACAAAACCTTTATTATCAAGTGTATCACGAAATAATTTACAAACACCTGCTTCAACACGATAAATAGCTTGATTAGCTGGTGTACGTAAATCAATGACACGATTGTCAAGACGTGTATCTTGATTAACGCGTGCTGTTTGAGCGTCGTCAGCAGTATTTGGTTCATCTGGACGCATAGCATCTTCGATTAATAATGGTAAACGTGGTTCTGCTGGACTAACAACGTATATTTTTTTCACTTGTAATTCAACATTTTTTTGTGTACATGATTCAATAGGTGTTGGTGCTAAAGAAACTTCACCTTCAACATCAACAATACTTTCTTTTGTAATACTAATTTCAAAAGAAAAAAAAAGAATATATTCTTGAGGGATTATTTGACAATCTTACGATGAAACAAATTTAACCATTGGTTTACTGACATTTTCATTAACACAAACAACAGCTTGAATTGTAGCTGATTGATGACGAATAACTAGGAAACATTGTTTGCCTTTACCACGACTTATATGAAGACGACCTCGAACCCATATTGTTTGTTTAGCTAATGTTTCATTTATATCACGAACAAGAAGTAATTGACGATCACATTTTTCCTTAGATTGAATCAATGGCAAAATACCATAACTACCTTGAGCAAAATCTTCTTCAGTTGTTGCTGCATCAACATTCTAATCAAATAAGAATAATACAGTTAAGAAGTCTATCTTGACAAGATACGTTTGTTAGTATTTCTCAAGAGTTTTATTAAAGAAAAATGTTCTCGTCAATCATACCTGTTGTTTTTCTTGTGGTTTTTTACCAGATTTAGTAGAATCACCGGAAGCCATTGTGAAATTTATCTAAAACTGATAAAAATCCCGGAAATATATAAAATTTCATGACAAATTAGGTTTTTTCCTATTGCATCAGATGGATGATGTAGGTCATTAACTACACTGGTATGTATTTTGACCAATCATCTTTTTCTGAAATTACAATAAGCTTAGCGAACTGATGACGATTAATAGTTCCATTTGTAGAGGATCATTATGAATTATATACAGAATTTTTCCGATAGAGATTTGAAATAGGAACCTTCAACAAAAGATATATCCTAATAACATAAACATTTTAATTTTACATAAAATAATTTTTTATTTATTAAAAAATAGTTTCATTTTTCTTCTAAATAACGCCATCTATAACGGAATCATTTTTAACTGGTATAAAATTCGTATCCAATAGTATAAGGTCGCTCTTTCGAACTTGTCAACAATTTTGTTTGTTTTTATTTTTTTTTGAAAGACGATACATACAGACATGTATTCAATAGGAATTCGCTTGATAAATTCTTTACTCTTATAGCATTTTCTTTTTCTACGTTCAAGTATTTTACCAATTTAAAATAATATTTTTTGTAAATGATTATATTCATTTTCGTAAGTTATTTAGTGTCCGATGTCCACATTTGAAAGGCAAGGAGAAGAAGAAGAAAAGAAATCTAACAACGTATTTCTTTTATTTAAATGTCTCTTTAAGGCTTCTATCTTTAACTAAAGTAAGTATAGAATTGTTCTCGTCTTTCATTTTTATCACGTTCGTTCGTCTCATATTACAAATCGATGAAAAAACGAAAATGACAAGTATGAATACATATAAATATCGTCGCATTATTGTCTTCTCTTCGTTTCTTTTCATCATATAATTGATTACTTTTCTATTTAACAACACCTGTAGATTGTATCGAAACGAACAAAAAAAAAAGAAACGACAAATGAAAAAGGAATTCACCTGTATTTTTAGATTTTTCTTTCTTTTCTTATTATATATACATGCATCCGTTCGTTATGTCCTTGAATGGATAATATATCATGTCTAAAACTACCGCTATCGTTTCAAGCGGTTTTGCTAGTTCATCATTGTTACCACCAACATTTAGTCTTGCTGTAGTTAGTATTAATCCATTGTCAGGTAAATCATCATTATGTAAACGTCTTATCGATTCAAATATTGATAATTATCGATTATTTCTATTAAAAAATAAATCAATTCATCAACAACAAAATGCAACATGGCTTTATTGGGGTTCAGTAAAACATCGACGGTCAGATGAAAAACGTGAAGCATTATTTCATTTAATTGAACATTCAACAATAGCAATTGATGATAATGAACAATATGATAATTATATAAAACGTATAACTTCATTAACATTACGTACAGAAGAAAAATTTCAAAATGATTCCAACTATCCACAAGTAAAAACTTTTCCAAAAGATAAAGTAACAATTGATGGTTTTTTATGTATTCATGATTTATCATCAACAAGACAAATCTCTGATCTTTTATTTCTACTTCATTCTTTATTTAAAACACGTCGTCCAATATTAATCATAACAACTAAAAATGATCTAATTGAAAATCAATCTGATTTAGCATTACAATTTGAACAATCTATACGTCGTTCATCATCAACAGATACACATTTATTATCTACTATACCTATTATACATACATCAGCTAATGAACATGTTAATATTCAAGCTGTACTTGAACTTGCATTATATGCATGTGATGAACCAACATTATTATCATCATCATCATCAAGAAAAGCTTCACATTCAAATACATCAGTAACAAAATACATTCCACCATCCTATGAAGATGGTTATCGAAATGAACAATCATTAAAACATGTTATACAAGCTGAATATAGAACATTATTAACACGACATGTTTTAGATTTTCGAGTTGCTTCTTGGATTAAATTTTATACTACTTGGCAACATCATACAAGTATACAAACTTTTATTGATATGTTTGGTAAACAATATGCTGAACATTTATATAATGAACATATGGAAGAATTAAAAAGAATCTCAAGACAAAAATTAATTGATGAAAGATTAATTCCAATTGTAGAATTACTTGTAACAGATCAAAAAACAAAATTATCAAGGTATGACATTCAGTTGAAGGATTTAAAAATGAACTACTGGCAAAGCATAAATCCTATCATCATCATAATCTCTTTTTCATATGTATGGTAATCAAAGATGACAGACTCCCAAGAGACAAATTACAGTTTCTCTAGATTTTTAGTTTTTCATTCTGTACGAGTCACTACTCAAGTAAATAAACCGTTATATATCATAAATTATCTCGATTTTTTGAAATTCCTCTCATTAATGATCTTGATAATCTTTATGAGAACAAGGTTTTATAGTTATTGCTTTGATATAGTATCATTAGTTGTAATAGGAAAATGTAATGGTTGTCAAGACAGGAAAAAATACATATCGAATAGTGTATAAAAAGTTCTAGACGACATTACGAGGACAAAAAAAATCAAATAAACCTTTTCATAATCAGTCGATTAATGTCCGTTATTATTCATGAAAGGTGAATACAATGCGACCTTTTTATGTCTACTCTGACAAACAGGACAGAACGAATGAAGAATACGATTTTTTTATAGAAATTTTGTTTTTAAATGTACATAATACATTAATCATTTCTATTGTTAGATCAGAAGGCTACTTTCATATATAATAGTAAAATTCATTTGTTTTTAATTCCAATGAATAATTTTGACTACAAAAAGAAATTATCCTCCACGTATTATAGTATGAATAATTAGAGAAATATACGATTGGTTTTATCATAGTTTATTGAAACTTATAAAATGGAAGATTATTTTTGTCATAATCTCCGAGAATAGTTTAAAACAGTATTTGGTAATTTTATCTTGTAGGCGAAATATTATTTGGTTTTAAATTTCAATAATATTTTTCTGTCTAGAAATTGGGATTATGTACGTTTACAAATGCAAAAACATCCTCGCTATTCGTCAACTGTGATACCATCTTTGATGTGGTCAGATGCTGAGCAAAATAATGAAAATAAATCCTCAAATTTAATCATTCCCGATGATTTACTTGAGACACCTGAAGCTCGTCTCTGTTTTGAATCTTATATAAATAGTCGTCAATTAGAACAAACTCGTCGTACAAATTGTCGTTCATTTTTTGATTTACTCAATCGTTTTTCTGATGCTGGTCTTGTTCAATATGGTCATTCATATGAAAAAGATTGTGTTTATTTTTTGGGTCGTGAATGTTATGAATCATTACATGCTCAAGATCGTTTACGTGTATTTGCATTCCATCAATCACATCTTTATCGTTTAATATGTTTAAAATTTGTTGAATTATTATTTGAATCTCTTGAAATATTTATTGATACATTTCATAAAATGAATTCAGCAACAACAACTCAATTAAATAGTGATAGAAAAATAACTACACTGACTATTGATGATATATTTGAAAAAGAAATTATTCAACAAATAAGACATGATTCAAGGTATAGACAAAAAGAAGAAATTCTTGTATAAAATAATAAAAATTTTATTTAGATATAAAGCATTAGATAATCGTGAAACCGATCGTCATCGATTAATTATGTGTCATTGTCATTTTTTATATGATTGTATTTATTATCCACCGACAAGAAATATTAATCGATTAATAAAACAACGTAAACGTTCATTTAAACGAAGAAAATCTTCATCATTATCATTATATAGTAATAATATAAATATTGATGATAATTTTTGTCCATATACAAGAAAAATTCCAGCGATTACTAATGAAAATGAAGTAATAGCGAAGAAAAAATTTGAAATTGCTTGTCCAATGGAAGAAACATGTGCTGATATTCGAATTATGAATGAATTTTTTTCTAAAATACCATTAAAAAAAATTGGCAATAAGTAAAAAATAAAATTTCATTTATTTTCATATTAATTCTTCATTGTATTTTAGAAATATTTTAATTTGTGGAAATGATAATGATATGAATAATTATCTTCGAATAATTTCGGTAAGAAGAACTTTTAAATTCTCCTTCAAATAAATCTAACGAAACCACTGTCCATTTCAAAAAAAAGGCGGATGGGTATTTTTCGAATATTTTTTTGTAGGAATAAGATAGAGAGCTGCGGTTTTCACCGTTAGAAAGAGCAGATGAAGATGTATCTAAACCCATATGTGAAGATTTCTCTAACTACTCCCAAAGGCTATTATAGGAAAATCTTGGATAAACAGTATGTCTCGCATTAACGCTACATTAGTTCGTTCATTTTCGGGAATGTTGTAAAATCACCAGATCAAAAACTACAAAATTGTGTGAAGGTTTCCCTCATTACTACTACTAATTCAATCTTTCACTGGCAAAAAACACTTTAGTAACCCATTTTTCGTGCAAAAAATAGAAGTTTCTGTGATGTTTTGATAAAAAATCGTATTTTTTCACGTGTGAGAAAAAGGCAGTTTTTTCAAAACACCTGACTGACAGTCTTTGGGAAGTAGTTAGAGAAATCTTCGGATATAGGTTTTGATGCGTCTTCATCTGCTCTTTCTAAGGGTGAAACCCGCAGCTCTCTATCTTGTTGCTGCCGAAAAATACTCGAAAAATACCCACCCGCCTTTTTTTTGAAATGGACAGTATAAGACTAAAATCGTACAATAGGAATCAGAAGTCCCAGTCTAGCTTAAGGGAAATAAACCAATGTGATTGAGTCACCCAGTTAACTATCTGTAAATTATTTTATAGTTTATTATTTCATGTATGAATTGAATTGTTTTATTAAATAAATAATCTTTTTAGAATGATTCTTCTTTGATGAATGATTTGCAAATTAATTTATGGACATTAAATAATCTCCGGACACAATCAGTTGATGGTTAGATTTTTATCTGTCTTCTTTTTGTTTGGAATGTTAATTGAATACATTTTTTTGTTTAGGTTGTCTTATTGTTTCACCGACAGGTCGAGAGCTTCTTCAAACTTTCCTAACTCAGAAAAAATTTTCTATTAATATTGATAGTAAGTGAATGAATTGAATTTATATAGCAACATAAAAAAAAACTTCTTGTAGCTATTCCAATGGTAAATTTAATCTCTGCAACGTCTGATCAGTATGTTTTTTCTGTCTACTGTTTTGATGTATTTTTAAAAGAATTTTTAGTTCTAATGAAATATCAATTGAACAACTCAGGTTATCACTCGAACAATTGTCGAATTCAAAAGAAACATTCTCAAATAAAAAACGATCTGATCTTCGAATTTTACTTTGTTTTATGTGTGGTGGAAATAATAATGATATTGAAATATTTTTTTCTCAATTAGCATCACGATTTTCTCTTGTAACAACAAATCAATATGGAGATTTATCCTTTATTATTAATGCATTTCTTGGTCGATCCAATCGAAAAGTAATTTCACTAAAAAAATCTTCTTCAGAAAAATATTTTGTTTTGTCTTTATTCAAAAGGTTGAATTCATTCCTATTTCATTTCATTCGTTATTTTCTGTTAAATTAATTGATTTTGATGGATTTATATTATTCTATGATCGTGATAGAAAAGCTGCTGTTAGTACAATGACATATTTAGAAAAACATATTTCAACAAATTTACAAAATGAACTATCAAAAAAAGCTGATGATAATCAAGAAACTAATGGAACAATAATACCACGTCCACCTATTTATGTCCTATGTTGTATTAAAGATTCTGGTTTATTAAATACGAAAAAATATCCTCAATCTGAATATTGTGTTCAATGTCATAGTGGAACAATAAGAAATTTTGTTGAATGTAAAAGACGTTTTATTAGTTTGTACTAATATTTTTAACGATAAATATTCTCTTTTATTTAGCTCATCTTGTACCGTTTCTTAATCAATGCTGGATTGCAATAAATGGCAATATCACTGATAATGATTATGAGAAAAATGAAAATCTTCTTGCAGGTGTTACATCATATTTTAAGTAAATATAAATTCTGTTTTTTCTATTACAGACAAATTAAAGAGTTTTTTTTTATAGTCGTACAACTTATTCATCAGCTAGTGATTTAATGATAAGTAGTCTTGAACGTACACGTAAACAATTCATAAATAATAATGATGATGATCGAACAAATTCACTAATGTTATCAAGTAAATCAAATGAACATTCACCTAAACATCGATCTTCATTATTAACACCAACAAATCATGAACAAAGTAAACTAATGATTTTTTTTGTATTAGAGAAAACGAATAACAATAACTATCGAAATTTTTAGTTTTTTCTTATCGTTCATTTCCACATTTATCAATATCAAGTAATGGTACTGATGCAACAATTGTTCCAACAACACCAGTTGACCCATCTGTAACAAATCTTGGTTTACTATCACCATCATCTTTATCGACATCATCGATATCTGATAATCAATTTAAAAAATCAACTAGTATGCGTTTTGCAAAACTTATGGAACATCCAAGTAAGTTTAGAATAGTTCATTAATCTTAACTCATAGTTCGTAGTTATTAAAACCAAAAAAAAACTTGTAGAATAATCTATTAGATGGGTATATGTTTTTCATAATTTCATTTATTCTAGTTAATTATTTAACATTTAACGGTAACGTAGATATAATTCGTTGTGCTTGTGCTTAACCTATTTGTTTAATCACTCATTCTTTTGTCGTTTTGTTTTGTCAATTTATATGTTGATTCACATAAAATGGTTGAATTTCCCTAAGGTTTAAACGATATTTTGAATCTTTACTAAAATTTGATTGTTAATTATCTGCAGAAAGAATTTCCGTCTTATGTAATTATTTATTAATATAAATCTATTTTTTTGTTTCTGATACTAATCTTAACAACGCCTTCAGAAAAGCAAGAGAGAGAGAGCAATAGAAGAGAAGAAAAAAGAAAACTACTACGATTGATAATCAACATAGGCGTTTGTCATCGAAACAAAAAATATATAGAAGAAAAGAAAAGTATCTATTCCCTTTCGTTTTCTAACTGTTGACAAGTCGCTCTTGCTAGCCAAACTATTGCTCCTGTTGCTTTCACCAAGTCTATTCTATAGTATATTCATTGAAATCTAATCATAATAAGTACTTTTCTTTTATTTCTTTAGTCGATGGAAGCAGTTACCAATCATCACCTAGTAATGCAAATAACGAAAATGTACGTATGATATATAAATAAACTTGAGAGAAAATGGTTTATGATGGATAATTCTATTTTCTTCTCTTTCGTTGTCTCTAGTCATTAACAATACGTAGACGAATCAATGAAATTCCACCAAGAGTAACATCTACAGAAGATATGAAATTTCATTTATATAAACATCGAACTGCTGCTCATGTTAAAGTTCCATTAGCTACACCGGAAATAATTGAATTTAATGAAGCAGTAACAACACCTTTGTCTATTCAACAACATTATGATAGATCATTAGTTTTAACAAATAATAATACAGATGATATACATCCAGTCAATTCTTCATCATCATCACCGCCTACACTCCATCAACAAAATCATAATAGTACAATAGATGAATCGATTACAGATTCATCGAAACAAACACGAGGTTTTTGATAAATTTATTTTAATTTCAAAATCTAAATTCGTTTTATCTTTTAGCAACAGATTCATCTGTTGATAGTTCAAGTGATGAACGTTTACAAAATCAACGTGAATCATCAACAACATTACAGAATGCAAATTCACCAACGAATAATCAATCACAACACCAGTGTGTTGTGACTTTACAAAGAAAAGTATCAGATAGAAAATCAAAACGTGTACGAGCTAAACAAAATGATGTTACAGGTTTAGCATCAAGTACTGAAATTTTAAAGAAAAGTAATTGAAAAAAGAATCAATTTCTTTTAAGTTTTATTACTATTATTTTCATTTAAGCTGGATCTGATGATGAAGTTTTAGCTGAAAATGATAAGCGTTCTCAACAGCAACAATATCCGAAAAAGAAACGTCGACCTAGTTTCAAAAGACGGAAGAAAGCTGTTTATGATCAAACACAGACTGATTCGGGAATTGATTCTCGAATGGGTATGAAGTGTTCTTTTTATCTTTTCTATAGATATTCAAATTGATTTCAATATTTCCTTAGAGACTAGAAAAGGTTACGTGAATGAAACTATTTTACAGTATTTTTTTTCTATAAGAGAAAAAAATCGTAGACGGTTCATTAAGTACCAGTCAAGAGGAAAATGATTGATTTCCAGACTAAAAACATTAGACATCAGTAAAAGTCATTTTTAAAGGTCAAATATATGAAAGCATTGCTAGATATAGTTGAATATTATGGAAATCAAAAGAAATCATCAAAAATCGTTTTATGCCACCGTAAAATCGTTGATGATATGGCAAAAACAGACGTTTTGATTTCTGTTGATTTTTATTCATTGGGTAGGTTTCCCATCTCCTTGATTTTTACCGATAGAAATCAGTTTGTTTTCTCTTGATACTAGTTTAAACAGAAGTCTTAATTAAATATTATTCTATTTAGATCCAAAAGATAGAAATAACGTTAGTATTGCTCCTGAACCGTCATCATCATCGAATGTTGTTATATCGAATGAAGATGATTCAAGTGTTGGTGACTATACAAAAGATAGTAAAGTAAGTTTTATTAAAATAAGAAATAAATTAGTTATATTTTTATTTTATTTTATTTCTAAGAATACATCTATTGAAGAACTCGAAGAACGACCAACAGCGAATTGGATTCGCCGTCAGCTACAATATTTTGCTCAAGTTCGACGTGATGTACGTTAATTTTCTAAGAGTTAAATTGATACATTACATTATGCTCAGGAAAATGATGTAGACTGATATGAGACTAAGTAACTTACAGCAGTAGCGGATTTAGGGAGAGGGTGTAATGGCACCCTGTCAAAACTGAGTGGGTGATATGTCGAATGGGAGCGGTAATGCGGTTTTTGACCAAAACCGCACCCTATCATAAAAATTCTAGATTTGCCACTGACTTACAACACCATGTTCATCTGTTTAATACTCGTCAATAGATCATTAATTCATAGGAATGTGTTAACTAATTATTTTATCTTTAGAAAAATGATCCAAAAACTCGTTCTCCTGCTACAACAATTACATCAGTATCTTCACCTCTACCAATTCTATATAAAGCAACAACGACATCAACTCCTCCACATACAACTGCATCTCTTCTATCATCTGTTGAAAATTCTCAGCATCATATTCCAATTCGTTTATCATTAAGTCGCTGTGCTCAATCAAATGAATCAGGTGTACCATTATTTATGGAAAAATGTATTCAATTTATTGAAGAATATGGTTTAGCTATTGAAGGACTTTATCGAGTTTCAGGCTATAAAAATCAAGTTGAATTAGTTATTAATAAACTTATTGAGGGTAAAAATAATTTAATTAAATATTTCAAATTGATTTATTTATTTTATATAGATCCATCTTATGATCTTCGTTTATTACAAGTTCCAGCCAGTGCAGTAGCAACAGCATTAAAAGATATGATGAGAAAACTTGATGAACCACTTTTATCATTAGAATTATTTGATGAATGTCAAAACTTAACGAGTAAATTAAAAATCATATATATATTTTCATTTAATCATTTTTTTTCTAGTTGATCAATTAAAAGAACAAAATTTTCTTCCGTTACGAAAAGCTTTTTCTCGTACAAGTGAACTTAAATATCGAACAATCAAATTTATTTTTAAACATCTTCATTTGTAAGTTAAATTAATAAATAAATCTTATATTTAATTTGTAAATACAATGAAATCTTTTAGTGTTTCACAATATGCTTCTTCAACTCATATGGATTCATCAAATTTAGCTGTTTTATGGTGGCCGAATTTATTTCAACCACAATTTCCCGATTTACGCACAGCTGAACAAAAATGTCAAAAAACTAAACCATTAATTCAAGCAATTATCGACAATTATCCTACGATTTTTTCTTCTAATGAAATAAAACAACAAAATAGCTAAAAAGAAAAAGAAATTCATTTGTTTTTGTTCACTGGTATTTTTTTCTAGTCAACAGCGGGTGCTTCTATGTTGTGATTTTGTATGTTGAACAAATCATTTTTTTGTTTCTTATGTTCTTTATTCGAGAATTATTTGTATGTATTTGCTAGTCGTTCTCTTTCTCCTTTTCTCTCTCTCTCTCTCTGTATTCCATACAACAAATTAAGAAAACCAACTTGTGTTTTTTTTTGTAATTAGAACAGTAGTCGTTTTTTTTTCCGTTTCGTATCTGTCTGCGTGTATGTACATAAAAAACCTTATCGTGTATTTTGTACATGCCTTCTTTTTTTTTCTTTTGTTCTGTTCTCTCTCTCTCATACAAACAGTATCATCTTGATTCTAACTATTGCTCATGCATATAAAGAAGAATTCCAAATAAAAGATGAACCTGTTTGTATATACATATATTAACAGCATAGATGCGTGAATGTACGCGCAATATTTGTTTGTTTGTTTGTTTGTTTTTTCTTTCTTATGGATGTTGTCTATTTTCGATGTGTCTTTCTTTCTTTTTCTTTCGTATAAAGTCGAATAAAAAAAAACAAAATCAACAAGAAGTTAGGAAGATATTTTATTGTAAAGATAAATTTGGTTTTGGTACAGGAATTTTTTCATCAGCAAAACGAAATAAAGAACGATCGGCTGTTTGAGAATTAAATGGAGCAAAAAATTCCGTTGCATAGTCAATTACATTTTCAGGTTTCATAATTAAAACAGATTGAAGAAAATCAGATACAAGTGCAGTTATGTCTGGATGATGATAGATATAAGATTTATAATCATCAATTAATTCTTCCTAAAAGATAACATATTATATATATTTACACTTAATATACAATGGAAGATTAATGATCGATATCGTCAGTATTACTTACACGTCTGTCAAGAAATTTTGAACGTAATTCTAAATCATCTTCCCATTTAAGATTTCTTTTTGGAATTTCTGGTTTAGGTAAATATTCATCTTTAAAGAAAAATTAATTCATAAAAATTAAATTAATTTTAAAAGTTTTTACCAAATTCCTCTGCTGTTGGTAATGTTTGTGTTTTCATTTTAATTGGTGAACCCACTTGATATCGAGAAATAAGACGCCTATCAATTCATAAATAAGAATATTACCAAAAAAAAATAAAAAAAATATGTCTAACCCATCAATATTTAAATAACTTTGCCATGCAACTGGTAATACATTTGGTTTTGTTTCAAATATTTGCCGTTGTATACCCCATGCTTCAATATCTTTGCCATTAATATGAATTTGCTGTGGACCCAATGATGTCTATTCAAAAAAAACATTTTTTGATAATTAAATTTTTAAAAGAAAATCTGTATTTACATAAACATTGAGACACAATTCTGATGATGAATCAAGTGAAAGTAATGTAACTTTTTCTGGCATATTACGTTGAACCATTAAACGTTGTAAAATAAGATTAGCACCTAGGATATTATATGATAAATTCGATTGTATACGGAACTAAGTTTTTTGTTACCTTCTAAGATAAGTCCATGTGCTTGATTTTTTGGAATACGTTTTGTTTCAGTAGTTTTTTTCTACAAGAAAAAGATTTCCTCAAATAACTATTCAATTATCTAGGATATAGATTTTAATGTACTTTGCCTTCTTCATTATTAATTGTAATAACATAATCTGTTGATTCTGATATAAAATCAACGATTCGTGTTATAGGATTTGGTAACTAAATAACAAAAAAACAAATTGAAATTTCATGTTCTAATTTAAATTGACATACTTTAACATATTCCGTATGTTCTTGTTGTACAGTAACAAGTTCTCGTGTTACAACTGCTCGTACTGTTGTACCGCATAGAACATTATCAATAGTTGCTTGACTAAAAATTAAAACGACATATATATATATATATATATTTAAAATATTTTTATTAAACCTATTAGCAACAACTTGAATACAATCATGAAGATCACCATAATTTGTTTTAGATATTTTAACTTCAAATGATCCAACCTCTGTATTATTTGGTAATGAACAAACTAATGTATCATCATACAGAATTGAATTAATATCATAACTAACTAAACTTCGTAAATATTCAAGGGAGCTATTCTCTGCAGACGGCATCCTTAAATTAATCGAAGTGTTTCCTAAATTATTTCGACATTATTACAGTTGTGTCGTCGACGATAGCCTCCTTTTTGCAAAACTTTTATTTCTTTTTTTATTCTTTAAAATAGAGACAGATGTCTCTATAAGTTCAAAATATATATTAGCATAGATACGAAACACATATTTTACGTTCATGAAAAAGATTTAAATGGTCTGTAAATATATAAATAGCAAGAGCACCAATTAATGAACCTATTTGTGTTAAAACACCAAACCAAAATAAACCACGATGACCAGATTTACGTCCAAAATAATTTCCAAGTAAAACACGTATGAAATATAATACACAATATTTTAATACCCAACCAAGACTTATAAGAATTTTACCGATTAATTGATCGACTAATGGTGAGCATGGTGAAAGTTTAGCAGAAATAAATGTATACACAAAAAGACCAGTACCAATAATAGTAAGTAGGTAAACATAACGAGAACGTAGATGAGGAATGAATACACCAAGAAGTGACATAAGAGGATAGGCAAATTGACAAGCAACTATTGTATGATGATAAACTTCAATTGAATATGGATATAAAGAATAACCTGTAAATAAATTCAAAGAAGAATATAATTATTCGAATGAAGAACATATACTTTGTAGACTTGGCGAAGCTCCTAAGTAAAGAAAAACAATTTGATTATAAGAAAAAAATGAAGATATAAAATTAATTTTACCAATAATAAGGATACTTGTCCAAAAACATAAAAATAAATATATTCCATGTTTTGAAATCCAAAATTCTTTCATGGTCATTGAATATTCATCTGATATTATGTTACGAAATGTATTGACCTCCAAATTAGCACTAACTTCATCATCAATTGTACTTAACTCAACAACTGGTGCACGTACTCTAAATAAATCAAATATTATAGAAGTATTAATAAAAAGAAATGAATGCAAACTTAATATTTGAAGAATTAATTGATGATTTCTCTTTTCGTCGACCTGTTCGTATCAAACAAAGAGTAATAAATGAAAGAAGTGAAGCTAACATAATTACTGCTAATGCTAAAAAATATACTCGAACAGAAAATCGTGGTGGAGAATTATATTCAATTAGAGTTCCATTTTGATCTTTTATACATGATGTTTGACCTACACCTTGTGCTATACCTAATAAAGCTGGAAATAAACTTGATAGTGCTTCACCAAAAAAATACGCATTAAGATAAATTGGTTCATAACGATCAAGAAATGGTAAGAATGTTACACTTGATGTACAATCGACTAGTGATAAACTTAATGAAAATCCCATTAAATATGTTGAATGTTCACTTCCATTAATCCATGTTGTTTTATGCCATACAAAAGCCAAAATAATAAGAACAACAGTTCCTGTTGTCAATATAAATATGTTTACGGGAACTTCATATGTTACACGACCATGTGAAAATCGTCGAATGAAAGCAACAATTACTACACCTATATTCGCTAGATTAGAAATAAGACCCATTCGAGCTGGTAAACCCCATCCTTCAGGTAATTGATCAACAATTAATGGAAATTCAATCCATACACCAGACAAATTAAGCCATGAACCAACAACAAATAGAATGACGAGTGTTGAAACACATATTGTCGAACAACGAGGTATTCTCATCATATAAATATATTTAATACAAAGTAACTTGCACGATCGTCTATTACGGAATGATGAAATGACCTTTATTTATAACGAAAATTTTATCTATGATAATGTCGAAACATTAATATTTACTGTTGTTCTTTTACAGAGTATTTTAGCAATAAAAATTTGATCGTATAGTACAACATATCAGAAAAGAAATAACGATGATAAAGTCATATGTAATTAAACAAAATCATTCTCTTATCGTTAGTCATGATTAAATAAACTAAGATTCTTTTTTTTCTTTACATATTATTAACAAATAATTTATACCTTGACATTCGTACCATTAGTTATATAATTCATTTCAAGAGAAATATTTCTCCTATTCATAATCGTATCACTCTATTATAACGATTGATGATCTTTTTTTATATGTGAGAACCTGATAGGTATCTCATAAAAATATTCTGCTGTTCGTATTTATGTATTTTTTTATCAAAAGATAGCATTTGCAATTCTTTATAGAATCATGAAAATATCATTCGATCCACAATTCTTCCAAATATATGTATAAAAAAAGACGAAAAGTAAAGGAATACGAACAATTGAAGAAGACAAATATTAACACGATGACTTGAATGTCATATTTACTTTATAGTGCGTGTTTCTATAGTAGCAATCTATTTGTATTTGTGGATACCACCGGATCAGCGAAAAAACTAAAAAATCGCTCAGATTTTGATCTACTTTATAATTTTCATTCTAGAAAATATTCAAAATGTTAATTAGGGAAAGATTAATCATATCTGTACGATGAGGATAATATCATAAGACAAACTAATTTATCAATCATTTTTTTTATTTAAAAAAATAATAGTACAGTGAAGCTTGCGACACCTTTCATAGGGTCATTATCAACACTAAACTCTATGAAAGAAATTTTCGCTCTAAATATACGAAAACTTTTTTATTC